CCATTCCAATTTAATGAAATAGCTTACCCTACACATCCCTCCTCTCTTTCTCAAATATTTTGCAAATTCAATTTCAATTGAAGGCTGACCATCATCAACGGCACGCGAGTTTTTTGCTCTTTCTCCAGTATCTTCTAATTCTCCTCTTCTATTGGAGGTAAACTGATTTTTCTGTGACCTTTTTTGCAATTTTTTCACTATTTTTGTGCTTATGAATCAGCTAGAATTCACACTCTGGTTGTTGTTGTTGTTGTTGCTGCATATTAAATCAATTTGTATAAATAATCAGCTTAATCAACTTGTTGTATAAATAGTCAGTTCACCGTTTTTCATTCAGTTATTTTTGGCAGTTAGTTTGTTTTTAGTTAGTTGATTAGTTTTTCAGCCAATTGCATCTTAGCTGTATTCCCGCTCTTTTTTGGTTGTAAGCTATTTATAGGAGCTGAATATGTAACTTTCTATAAGTTTGAGAAATAGAATTTCTTTCTCCATCTTCCGCCTCTTTCTCGTGGTTTCTTTCTTTCTTCATTGTTCATCCCAGTCTCATTTCTGAAACTAACACTGCATGTGTGTGTGTCAAGGAATTATTTCAAACAAGCTAGCAGATTATATGGCAAATAAAGCACAACAGAACAATTAATTTTATTTGCATAATAGTAATGATAGTAACAGTAACAGTAACAGTAACAATGATTACAACAATAATAACTTAAACATCAAAGTTCAAACCAAGCCTGACTATATCATATGCTTTTGACTTCCTGTCCATTCAGTTTAATATTTATCCCTTCATTGATGGAGTTCCTGGAAACCAGGAGAAGAAACCAAAAAACTAATGAGACGGAACTTGAGAATTCAATGCCAGACAGAGAAAGACCTAAAACATTTAGGCAACCTTATAAGCGCTGTCACTAATTTTCCATGTGGAATGACTTGTTTTCTTTCTCTAACACCAAGTGCAATCTAGATTTTGGGCATGAGGTGGAATTGTAGATTAGGAGAACAATTGTATAACCTCTGTGGGCTTAAGTTATTTGGTGCTAAAGTTATTAGATTAGGAGAGTAATTACATATGTTGACTTGCTAATGTTATTAGTAGAATTACTAAAACTTCGTTAAATTTATAATCTTTATTGCAATTTTTTATTTACATAGTATTCAATTCAATGTCAACAGTTATGGAGAGAAGCTTGTTGTGACAAAGAAAAGTGAAGTGTATCCACTACTATATAGGCTTGTGACATTGGCATTGATTCTTCCCGTACTGCTATTGTCGAGAGGGTATTTTCTACGATGAATCTTGTCAAGACTCGATTGCACAATCGAATTGGAGATCAATGATTGAATGACAGTTTAGTTGTATATATTGAGAAGGATATATTTAACAAAATTGATAATGATTTTAATTATACGACGTTTTCAAATTGTGAAAACACATCGGGAACAATTATAATAATGTTGCATTACTGTGTTATATTATTTATAAATTTTTTATTATATAATTTTTGCCCACCCAAACAAAATATCCTAGCTCCGCCACTGCTCCCAATCAATATGCAAACCAGTGCTCGTAAATGCTGTAACTTCCACAAGATCATAACATCTCACAGAGCAGGAAGCTTGAATATATGGGAGAAACTCCCAGGATCAGAATTGAAATATAAAAAATAAAAGCATAATTAAATCCTATATATTAATGAAAAATGTAATCACTCAACAAATTAGTTTAATTAGATTAATTAACTGATTCTCAGCAATGATCTAGAAATACCCACCTCAACGAAATTAGTGAATTTGGGATCTCTATTTACAACCAACCGGTGAACCTACATTAAATCATGAAAAGACATCAATCCAAAAAATTAAACCTATCAAACATCGAAATTGATAATAAAATCCTCTTAAAATGAATAATACTATACCTCGTATTCGACTTTGTGTTTCTCGGATTCCTCGAGAGGAATGTAATATTTAGCCATTCGAGTTTTTCCTTGCCTGTTTTGCAATAGTATGAATCGGATCTACAAATCGAAAAAATAAAATCAATAAAAGCATAGAAAAATTGAACATTATAGAAGAAGAATGTGAAAGTGTATATATATATATTGATTCCAGGAAATTAACAAGAGAAAGTACCATTTTAGCAATATCAATAGGGGAGAAAAGATTGTGAAATTAAAATCAGGAGAAAATTATATTTAATCTAAAAATCAGATGCTGTTTAAGTTCAGCTTTAGTTTCGCGTGATGAAGCCAAAGGTTGAAGACTCGAAGACGAAGCTGTCCGAAAGGAGCAAATAGAGGAATGTTTTGGGACGCTTAAAAAGTTTGCTTATAAGTGAAAAATATAATTTTTAAGAAAAAAGAGAGCATGCGCGGGTAGTTTGTAACTTTGTATAAATAATTTCAAGAAGCGGGAGTAATTCTGTTTGACGACGATTATTTCAACTATTTATTCTATCTACTCATTTTTCAATTATACAGTCACAAAATAAAATTTCCCTCACGTAAACTCAAAATATACCTTACTTTTTAATCACAATTCTTCAAAAATTCACCATTCAAAATTTTATTTTTGTCAAATAACGGCCATCAAACAGGGCTAAGTGAATAGGACTTGTAAATTTCACGAAATTTAAGATAAAAATTTATTTCAATCTTTATAAACATGAGCCAAAGATAGGTCATTTGCATCTAGGACTAATTTCGGGAAGAGGCGAGTAAGGCCTGCACCTCAAGCCCAACATTAGAGGGGTTTTAGAGTTGAGGAAATTAGACTATATACCCTAAATATGAGGCACTTTTGAAAAATCATGTGAAAAGTAATTACAAATATAAAATACTGTATTTTAGAGAATCCGACTAAAACAGAAGACGCACTACATGCCTTGATTAAACCCAAAACACTTATTTTTGAAAATTCGACTTTCGATGAGGGTTTAATAACTTGGTTGAGTCTTGGGGGTCAAAGCAATCAAAAATAAGGAGAATCCATATTTGTTTACATGTTGAACTGCAATTAGTGAAATCTAACAAAGTTTGAGTGGTGTAAGAGATTAGTATTGAAATTCAATTTTAGAATACACCATGGGGAGTGAAAA